CAGTTCAGCTACAGATATTCATAAGTGTTTTTTCCAAAAGACTGGAAGAGCAGAAAAGCTGCTCATCAGAAAAGCTTTTAAAAGTAAATATTATAGTAAGAACACAGCTCTGTGTATTTTGGATTTAAAATTCCACACGCTGGATAATAAAGAGTAAGTGGTACTGTGAGGGAGAGGAAGGGGAGGATGAAGCCAAGGTATCATGGCAATTGCTTGGCAGCTTGCTTTGGTGACCTTCAGCTGCATGAGCCTCACGGTATGCTCTGTCTGGTACGAGTAGGACTCTGAACTTTTATGCTTTTGTCTCAAAATGAAACCAGGTCTCAAACAAAACCAGTAAAGTCCAGACAAGTTTTCAAGTTGGCTCCTGCTCTTAGGATTTCCTGGTACCTTGGAGTTTGAAAGCCTCAGCATGAAGGGAAAGCCAGTGCACATCAGTGGGAGATAAGGCAGGGTTTTCCTCAGTGGCTCCAAACAAATGGGGGAATCAAACTCTTCTCCTGAAGATGTGGATGGAGCAGAGTGTGGTGCTGGTCTCTTTGTAAAAGGCAGAAATAAAAGTCTGCATTCAATTCAGTGTCTTCCCTAAGGACAGCCATTCAGAAAGATGATGCTGAATTCTACTGCCTCCCTTCAAAGAGACAATAGACTAAAGCAGGACTTAAATGATGAACTGAAAATTAGATTTAACAAGAGGTGTAAGAGGCAAGCAGAGGCTTAATTTTTAAGAGCAGAAGATAGCCCAAAACACAGCTGTGCTGCCAAATGGCCAGGTTTGGATATGAGTTTGACTCAGGTTGTCATTAATTAGGGTAGAAGATAAGAAAGCCTTGTGGGATTTGTCCTACTATTTGTGAAGACAACCCACTGCATTAAGTGACTGACTAACGCCAATTAAGGGAAGAGGCAGAGCAAAGACACAGTTCTGAGGGAACTGTTTGACAGTGTAAGCTCAGAGAGCCCCCTATAAGAGGTGAAAACTTAGGCCCTAGCACTGAGCTATGTCTGGGGTCTAATCACCAATTACCTGGAGGAAAGGAAGAGTGGAGATAATACAAAGGCCTCAGCAGTCAGTATTGTGGAGCTTGCATCCATTTGTGCCTTCTTTGCTTCAGCCATGTCAGGGTCATGCTGAGCTCTCCGCTGGATTTTGTGTGCATGTGAACTCTTTGAGAGGCTGAGGAGCTCGGGAGTTTTACCATTGCAGCACACATGACATCTGGCACTTTCTTGGTGAGTAGAGTTGGTATTCTCATCTGTGGACATGACAGCTTGAAAGCCGTTCCTATTGCTGATATAGTGACATTTTACAAAGTCGGTATGCTTTTATGTGCACATTGCTTTCACCATTCCTGCTGTTACGGGTGTGTTGTCTCTGTACATCACTTTTTCAGTGGTGTGCAGTGTTGTTTTATTACTTGGTGCCTTCTTGCTTTTGGGGGATGGCCTCATTTTTCCACTTGTCATATAAAATCCTTCTTTTTTAATATTCACTTTCTGCCTTCCTCAAAACTTGTTGCATCTGAAAAGACATCATTCAACGCACAGCTTAAAAAAAAAAAAAAAATCATTCAAGATTAACCTCAAAAACAAACCAACAGTTAAAGGACTATTTGAGAAAGTCAGCTACATCTTGTTGAGTCCTGCAACCCTTCTTGGTGCAAATATCTGGTGCTAGTAGTGCTGAAGACTGAGTAGTTCCCATTGGTGATACCAGCTGTACTGTTGTACCATGACACAGCCCACATCTGCAAAACTTTTGTCTGAAGAATCATGAACAGAGTGGGGTAAAATCAGGCAGGGATGTAAGTTATGCAGCAACACAAAAGCTGTTGTATGACACGAAATGACAACACCAAAGCTGAAAATAGCTGTTTTTTTCAGCTTTCTCCTCTATCGTTTCTTCAGCTCTGTCATTTAGGTAACTTGTAACTCATTCTTCATCTCAGTCCTGCAAGATAGACAACTATATGAACCTGTAAGCAATATCCATACGTAATGCTGCTGCTCTCAAGTTTTCCTTGTAGGGGAACAGTGTAAATAGCTTGCAGCATACAAAATTCTCTTGTTCAAACAGTGATAGCAAAATGTTCCTTTCATCTCTCCGAAAGCCTCTAAATTTTAAAACTGCTCAGCATGCTGCATTCTTTAGTATTTTTTACTCTGTTTTGCATGGCTTTAGCATTATGTATAATATGGTGGCACAGAGAACATCGAGTATTGGAGACAAAAGATTTAGTTCTTTCATGTAAGGATATTTAACCACAGTTGTGCTCAATAGAATAACCTATATTCAAGAACTGATTTTTGTGATTCATTTAAGGTTGATGAGAGCTAGAGTCAGGTTTATTTTATTTAAAATTGAAAATGTATGTTTTGTTTTTGAGGAAGGAGGTGACGTAGATTCTTACCCAGCTCTTCTGTGCACTCTGCATGAGGATGTTTGAAAACTTGCTCACTTTCTGTGAAAAGCCTGGTGGTTGATATCACACAAATGACGTTGATACAGGTGAGATGATGGGCATATTTCTGCCATGTACTCTCAATTCTGATTTCATAGGCATGTGAGAGCACTCTGCAGTTCGCATGACTCAGCCCCATGCTGGGGGGAGCATGAGACAAACACTGATAGTGTAAGTTCCTCCTCTGTTTTACTGTACATCTCACAACAGCTCCCAGAAAAGACAGTTGTTGTCACTGAGATGTGTCCCTGTGAATGAAGACAACACACAGGGGAGAAATTAGAGTACCCAGCCACACCTGCTCTGGTAAAACACAGTGTTTGGATAATCCATTCTGCTGTATATGTGAAAGCAAGGGGCTCATGAGTTAAATGGGTGTTGTTTTCTTCAGTGCTCACGCTGTATATTCAAAAATTCTCATGGGTTTTCTCTGTCATATATACAAGGGCTGGATTACATACTATATATTAACCCTAAATTATAACCTGAAATAATAGGCATTATCTGTATTTATTTTTGTGGTGCTGTGACATATACAGTAATCAAAGAGCCTTCACTGCAGCTTCCATTCCATTAAAGCTGTCATATGTATTTTATTCTATTTTTTGTCCTTACTGCCGCAGTTCAACCTGAGGGAAAAAGAGCAAGCTTACAGACTACGCTTAAACCGAGATGCAAACTTCTCAGAGAAGTGGCATCTGTTTTGCCTTTTAAATTAAAATCAGACATCAGAGCAGGCTGCCCAGGGAGTTGGTGGAGTCACCATCCCTGGAGGTGTTCAAGAGGTGTGTGGATGTGGCACTGAGGGACATGGGCAGCAGGTGGATTTGATGGCTGGACTGGGTCATTTTAGCAGTCTCTTCCAACCTCACTGATGCTATGACTTTATAATATATGCAGTACACTACATTGAAGCACAGAAATAGAGATGTTTGTATATGCTGCAAGAAGATACATGTTGTGAATCAAATCCTAGCCTGGATGTACACACTCATTCAGAATCAGCTGCATTCCAGCAACAGGTTGTGTGTTGCTCCTGGGAGCGGAGTCCCAATGTGATGGTGTGCTGATAACTTTTTGAGATGATGTAACACACATCCCATCTTGCTGTCAGGGAGAAGTGGCACTGAGGGGCACATCTGGCTTCTCATTACTAGAAATATCCTGAGCTTCTGGTGCTGACCAGTGGAACTGACATAAGAGCCTGTTCTACCCCCCTGGGCTCTTACACTGAGTCCAGAGATGAGCACATGACAAAGGAAGCTGGGATAACATCTTATGGCTTCCCAACAAATCAAAGCACTCATTTGTCACCGCTGTAATTCACCGTTTGGGGCACCATGCCAGGCTCCAAGCTCCCGATAACTTCTCTCGAGAGATTTGTGTGCCCTTTTTCTTTCATAATGCTGAAATGACAAAGTTGTGGTCAATATGAAAAATGTGGGGCCAGAAAACTAGCCAGCATGACCTTAGTTCTGTAAATAACCATTAGTGCAGGTCTGGATGGAGGAAAAAAAACCCAAATCTCGATTGTATCATCTGAATCTTCATCTCCAGATCTGACTACTGAGGGACTGGCACTGTCCCAAAGGATCGATTATGAGATTTAGAGCTTCCCACCGCCCACCTTGGGCTCAGCCACAGGCTGTTGGGACTCTGCTCTTCTCTGAGCTCAGTGGGGCTGCTTGAGTGCTTCCAGCTCTGTGCTCTGTGCTGGCAGGGGCCAGAAATACAGCCCAGCTATCCAAGTAGGTGAGATTCCATCCCCACATTACTGAGGTTGGCATGAGTTTACTCCCTTCCCCTTCTGCTTGCAGGAAGGTGAGGGTGGCCGGGTGGCTATAAGGCAGGTTGATGGCAGAAGGGATGCTCCGTGCCCTGTCTTGCTGCCCTGTGCTGTGCTGCTTTCCAGGCAGCATATTCCAACCAGCCCAGCAGCTTATATGGATGCCGAGATGGTCTTTAAAAGTGGATGTAAAACCCTTTTATTATTTGGTTGCTTTTCTGAAGTATTACACAAACCCTCCAGGAAACTGTACTGTTTACCCTCATAAAAGTAGCTCTGACATTAGTCTGGGGATGTTTATTAACTAAAACTGAGCCTTCTAAGGAAAGTCAGCTTTCTTCTCTCTCTCTTTTTGTTAAATAAAGCAAAGCTTCACCGCCTCTTCCCCACACACACTCAGTACTACTTCTGCTCTCTCTCAGCATCCCGTTCCCTCGCAGCCATCCCAGAGGTGCGGACACCCTCGCGGAGGGGGGTGCGCGGGGACGCGGCGTCAGCAAGGGGGTTCCACGGGGGGTGGGCCGGGGGGGCCGACGGAGGAGGGCGCGGCGCCCGGCACCAATCGCCTCCCGCTCGCACCCGCCGCGATAGCCGCGGGCAGCGCCAGCCCCGCGCAAAGCCCGCGCACGCCCCGCGCAAGGCAGGCGGCGCTGCGCCCCGCGCAGCCGGAGGCGGGAGCGAACGGCAGCGTTGCGCGGAGGCGCCCGGCGGGGCCCTGCGACGAGCGGAGCGGAGCGGCGTGGGGCGGCGATGTGAGGTCGCAACCGGCGAGAGGGGCAGCCCCAGCGCCGGGGAGGCAGCCCGGAGCTTCTGCGCGTAGCGAGGTAACGCGTCCTGTCCTCAGCGGGACTGCTTTCTGCCGTCTTTCCTTCTGGCTCACCGTTTCCCCATCTTTATCTTATCTGTTTCTTTTCCCCCCTCTTTTTTTTTTTTTTTTTTTTCCTCTTTTTTTTTTTTTCCTTTTTTTTTTTCCCTCTTTCCCTTTTCTCTCTCTTTCCCCTTTTTCTCTCTCTTTCCCCCTTTTCTCTTTTTTCCTTTTTCTCTCTTTCCTCTCTCTCTTTTCCCTTTTTCTTTCCCTGTTTTTCATTGCCCCTGTTTATTTTACCCTCCCTCCTTCTTTCCAGCACTCCTCCTCTCCCAGCCTCTTACCCAGGGCTGGGTTCGGGGCAATCCCACCGCGCCTCGCTTCGGAGCTGCCCCGGGACGCTCCCGGCTGCAGGTGCGGCGGGAGGGGAGGGGTAGCCCCGGGGAGGCGCGGCGAGAACACTCGGAGTCGGAGCGTGGGCACGGAGTGGCCGCCTCCAACTTTCTCGGATCACGAACCGCGGGGGTTTCTGCGGAGAAGGTGCAGGTTGTGCGCGGCGAGCGGTGGGAGCTGCCCCTACCGGGGCTCCCGAGGAAGCAGCGAAGCCCCCTGGGGGGTTCCGGGCTCGGCGGGCGCTGCGGGAGAGGCAGCGGGCGCGGGGGGGAGCGGGGCGTGTGAGCGGGCGCTGATGGTAAAAGATACGGAAGGAAGAGCCCCAGTGGCTGAGACATAAATCAGGCAGAATATATGGGGAGTTGATGAGAATAGGTCTTTTCACCCTTAAAAAAAAAAAAAAAATAGGCACTCTGGAAGAGAAAAAGGAGGCTGATTATTGGCATCCAGCTCCGAATCCCAGGCAGCTGATGCTGAGGGGAGCCAAAGGGAGCAGTTCTTCTTGGTTTAAAAACAGCAAGACAGTCTCTGCCAAAGATTGCTGTAAACACTGAATAAAGATTTCATTGTGGCTCGGTGTGACTAGAATAATTAGGCGGTTAATTGTTCATTCTGATCTTAAAGTGCAGCAATCAGTAGTGCACAGTAGGAAAAATACAGGGGGAAGAGAGGAAAAACAGCAATAGGAAAATGATAGGAAAATCTATCACTTTTTCCTCTCCCGCAGGTTTTTCTTTTGAGGCTGAGAGCACGTGGGTGCTGGTCTGTTTAGATAGAGAACACCTTCATGCAGTCGGGGTGTAATTGTGCTTTTGCAGCCACTGTGTCAACATCGCTGTGGGCTGGACAAAATCAAATTATGAGACTTAGAGAAATCCCATTTTATGGAAATGAAATCTGAAGATGCCAGGAGAATGAATGTCTGAGCTTGATTGACTGATAGCAATTAATGCATTTTACTTATGTGTACACTTTATTGCCAGCTCAGCAGGGATGCAAGCTAATGGTGCCAACCTTTGTGCTGCTCCAAGACATTTTTCAAGCAGGCACACAAGGTTTTATTGGTAAACCGTTCTGAGTTTTTAACGCTGTGATTGTGCCTCCCTTCAAATCGAGCTCCTTGCAGCACTGACTCTTCCATGGTAGTCTAAGGAAATGCTCTCTTGTTGCACTGCGAGCTGTTCCCTGTGACGCAGTAGAAAAGCGCAACCTGCGTGTGCTTGTACTGGGGGAGGCTGTAAGTTGTCGAGCAAGATGTGCTTACATGCATTAGAATAGGATGCACTGATGGAACTGAATGGAACTGAATGACGGCACCACAGGCAAGAAAGGTTTTCTTTCCTATGCAGAATGCTTTTCCATATGTGGTAGTTCATAAAGAAGCATGCTAATGGGTTAATTGACAGAAAAGAAGGAAGAGTGCTGTGTTTAAAAGAAAGAAAACTTCCAAAGTTCAGAGGCATTTGAGCAAAGTGAAAGAGACTTTAAAAAGTCTGATTGTAAAGGAAACGCAGTCATCCCTCGCATGACTTCGTGGACTTTGGAGAAGTTATATGAAAGATTCAGTCTGCTCAGAGACGTCCATGTAGCCTGCCCATCCATCCTAAGCAAATAAATAAAGGTGCTGGGGTTGGGCAAGAGAAGCTCAGTTAAATATCTTTTTCTGTCACTGCCTATGCAGAAAGCACTGTCAAACAGAAATAGACCTTTCATTCAGCTCTCAGAAGTAGAACAATTTGTCGTATTTTGTTGAAGATGAGTTTGTTGAAGGTTTCAATCTGAACTTTGCTAGATTTTTGTGGAAATAAATGTGGAGAAAATACAAAGCATGTTGTCTGTTCAAGGGTACAAAATGGACACAAAACACTGCAGTCTTTGCTCTCCGGTCACAGAGTTTAGGGCAGCCAGGACAGAAAGGTGAACTCCAGAGTTCTGTCCAAAGTGATGGTAAAGAAAATCAAGTGGATATGCAAATGTCAAGGTTGAAATATGTTTCATAAGCATTTTTATTAAGCTGTTGAATGTGCTTTATCCAACCACAATGACACTGGTATTCTGTCTGTGAAGATATTCCTGATTTAATTGCAAGGTGTATTGAAAGAGTCTTCCAGGCATTTTGCTTGCCAGTACAGTCTAGAGAGAGATATTGGTAGCTTTGTTTGCACTCTGAGACACCATAGAGTGTTGTGCTCTTGTTAAAGCAGTTCCGAAAGTGTAGTGATCAAGTGAACACAAAGGAGACTGCTCAAGCTTCTGCTTGTGATGTTCTGACAAAGAATGTTTCTGAAGTCCACATAGTGATATTCTTACACAAAGATGATGTTAGATTTTAGAACACTCTGTAGTACAGAAACATGATTTTGAGAGAAGTCTGAGGTGTTTTTTTCCTGCATTCCCAAATACAACATTTACCAAATGGCTCCTCTTTTCTTTAATAAAATGTGATGAAAACATATTTTGGGCATCACAGTAAGTTGGGGAAGAGGTCTTTCTTGCATTGTTACATGTTTAACAAAATACACAGAGGATTTTAAACTGATATTCGGGGAAAAACACTTGCCATTGAATACTATCTTATACCTAAAAGTTGTTTGAAACGCACAGTACATCTTCATAATAAAATTGCATTGTCACAGACGTAATTGTTATTCATAACAAGTAGTCTCACAAACAGATTCCATCCCTGTAAGTATTGAGTCTCAGTCAGGCCAATTATGACTAAATTACTGCATGTTCTCTGCTGTATCAACTAATTAAAGGGTAATTAATAAAATGATAATTTCATTCTATGGCAATGTCTACATCTGGTTGTCATAGCAGAGTTTGTTTGACATATGGTTAAATGGTCAGATAGTACGTTGTATGAATGCATTTGCATAGAACACCTGGCAAGCCAGAGGAATTTTAACCCTTAACACATTGATTTCAAGAATCTGTGTCAGTGTACCATTAGATTTGCTTGCTCATTCTCCTCACCTGGTCTTCTTAAGCATTTAAGAAAATTTGGTTCTTCAAGGATATTTAAGTGAGTAACTCTTCGGTAGGGGAAGAGTGGGAAGTGAACTTGGGATATTAGATTGGAGAAGCAAGGTAATATTGCACTGGCTTGTCACTGTGGGAAACAAAGTTCTGGTAAGAGACTCTCCATAGACCCTAGAATTACAGGGTGCACCCTCTAAGGAAAATTGGGCTGGAATTCGCACAGAGACAAAATGATCTCTTTTCGTAGATTCAGTTGTGTGTCAGAATAAAGGCTGAGGTTGTGGTCACAACAGCATGGAAAAATCTGCATTGCAGGCTTCCCACACTGTACCTGTCATCTATAGATAAACAAAACTTTTCTCCCATGGGACAGTAACCATGAAAGTCACACATCCTGAAAAAAAAAAAAAGAAGCAGCAGCAATCTTTTATCAAGTCAACAGATGATACAAACAAACAATCCTGGTTTAGGCACCTGATGCTCAAGATGCTGCCTGCACATCTTCTGAAATATTAGTAGTTGAAATCTTCATGGCAGTCCATGCATATTTTTTCATACTTTTTTTTTTTTTTTTTTAGCTTTCTTTTATTTTCAGGGAATGTATCTTAAGCCCCAATATTGCTGTGAAATATTACAACCTGTGCTGTTTCAAAGTATGCAGAAGAGTATTTCTGTCCTTTAAACTGTAAATAGTAGTACTGAAACGTGGGTTAAATTACCGTTTCTCATCTGTACTGGGTCAAGCTGGATCCCTCAGAGAACTAAGGATGAGACAAGAAATTGCAGACATAATGTTTTCCTTCTCTTTAGGAAAGAAAAAAATAATAATATAAAAGGGAGGGAAATAACTAGTGCTTTTTCAGCAATTGAGCAAGACGAAAAGGATGTAGTAAACTGCAGGAAGGCATGAAAGTCTGTCTTTTCCTATGCAAATGATCCTCAGTGAACAGTTCCCTCAGTGAATAGTCAGGGTGGCTCATCACCTCATGCGTCAGGTGCAGAGTTTGGCCAGTGATGCTTATAAAGCACTGTTTGTGTGTCTCTCTGAGAGTCAGAGTCCTGTTTCTTGAGAATTTCCAAGTGCACAGATCTATCTCATTTTCATTCTACTCATGGAACTCATTAACACCTGGAAAATCTTTTATAGCATTTAACTGCATCAGATGCACTGTCCGGCACATGTTTTCTTAATAGGGCTTTCACTGTGGCATTGTCAAAGAACCCTTATGTCACAGCTGGGAACATGAATCTGTCATGTCAGTTCTGTACCCTGTTTGAGACAGGAATAGTGTATGAGTGTTTTATGGAGGAGCTGAACATGCCCATATACTGCATTAGTGTGAAAGAATGTGGAGCTTGTTCTCCTAAATAAAGATTCAGGCTGGTGGTAGTGGAGTACTTTGTACTATTAAAACACTGCTGCCTCTAAAGCATTGTGCTTAAGGAAAGGGAAGTTTGAGGCGTTCAAGACACTCATAGTCTTCTAGTGGTGTAACGCTGTTGGTTAACGATATGTCATCATTTACATTTCATTGGGAAAAAATTGCCAGAGGTTTCTAATTCTGCCGTAGCAACTTGGTTGAAACTGGAAGTTGATATGAAAGTCCTCACCCTGGGAATATTTGTTTTTAAAACAAGTTTGAT